TAAGGTCTTCTTGTAGGTGGCGCTCCTGGGGCTCCCTGAAGGGACTTTTAGGGGTTGTGTGGGTACATAAGGACTCACTAGGAGAAGCTGGGGCAGCATTTGGGTCCGGGCAGAAAAGAAAAGCTAGAGCAGGGTTCCCCAGGATTGTGAAGGAGGGAAGGAGCCCTCCGCACACCCCCCCAAGCTGCGGCTTCTGTAACTGAGGCTGTGTCTTAACGTTCAGAGCAAAGGGGACACCAAGAGCGTGGCCCTGGACCAGGCTGAGCTCCCAGAAGTCCTCCCCTCCGGGAGCCTTGAGAAGCTTAACTGAGCCAGACAGCTTGTGTGGAATGGATTTCTTACGCTGCCCCAGTGGTGATCTCGATGAGAAGATGATGGGAGGAAATTGTTCTGCACGTACAAGCTGTTCTTCCCTTTCTCAGGCCATGGAACTAGCTGCTCTCCAAACCCGACTGTGCTTTTAAAAAATACACATTTTTAAGTCCACACCTCGGGTGTTCTTGTTCAGTACCTCTGAGTCAGCTCAGGAAATCACGGTGTATTTTTAACCGCTTGGACTTGCTTTGGAATTCTCTTTTTAATGATTTTTCAACAACTGCAAACTTAAGTTTCAAGTACAGTGCGAGTAACTTATTCCTGAACCATTTTCGTGTAAGTGGTTGACCTGTTGTCCCGAGACCCCTAAAGAGGTTAGTGTGTATTTTCCACAAACAAAGACATTGTCCTGTGTGAGCACAAGACAGCCACCAACAAAAGGGCATTAACATTGATAACGTTAGTATCATCTGATCCTCAGACTGGCTCCAATCAAGTCACTACTGTTCCTTTTCTTTTACTTTTTTTAGCAAAGTGATCTTGTCCAGGATCATGTGTGACTTTATTTGTCCTGTTTATTCTTCTCTAATCTGGAATGGTTCCTCAGTCTGTCCTTGACTTGCAAGACCCCAACATTTGCTTTCGAGGATCATAGGTCAGCTGTTTTTTGGAATATCCCTAATTTTGCCTAATCTGTTGTTTCTTCACGATTAAACCCAAGCCATGCGTCTTTGGCACGGAGACCGCAGAAGTCATGCTCTGCTCCTGACTATGCTCTATCAGCGGCTACATGATTTACGTTCGTCCTGTTAGCCTTGAATCAGTTTGATCTGAATCCTCTTTTTAATTTTTCTTAAGTAATCTCTGCTCCTAATGTGGGGCTCAGACTTAGGACCCCAAGATTAAGAGTCACATGCTCTACTGACTGAGCCAGCCAGGAGCCCCTCCTCTTTTTTTTTTTTTAATTGAGATGTAATTGACATAGAACGTTGTGTAAGTTCAAGGTGTACAACCTGTTAACTGATTCACCGAGATATTGCAATAGGGTGCTACTGTTTTGTTAGCTGGCACATCCCATCCCCTGATGATCATTTCTTTTCTTTTTGTGGTGGGAACACTTATGATCTAGTTTCTCAGCAGCTTTGAAGTATATAGTACAGCCCTGTCGACTATAATCAACTCATTCATCTTCTGATTGCATGTTTGTACCCTTTGACCGACACCTCTGCAATTTCACCCCGAGCCCCTGGTAACCACCATTCTGCTGTTTCTGCAAGTGATTGGACTTGTCTTTCTCTGCTTCAGAGAAAGAAGTAAAGAAATGGCAAAGGTATGGATAACGGAGGTTAAAAATACCCTTCCACTTGATTGAAGTGTTTTGAATAATTCGATCGGTGTTGTTGGAGTAACTCAGATAAATCCTGTATCAGGTTGTCAGAGAGCAGAGACAGAGCCTCAGTCTTTCCTTTAAAAATTAGCCTTCATGCTTAGGTCACCCGGGTGACGCAGCTGGTTAGGTGTCCGACTTTTGATTTTGGCTCAGGGTCGTGATGTCATGGTCCTGGGATAAAGCCCACCTTGGGCTCTGTGCTCAGTGCTCAGTGGGGAGTCTGCTTGGGATTCTCTCTCTTCCTCTTCCCGCTCACGTTTTTTTCTCTCAAATAAAAAAAATTTTTTTTTAAAGATTTTATTTATTTATTTGACAGAGAGAGATCACAAGCTGGCAGAGAGGCAGGCAGACGGGGAGGGGGAAGCAGGCTTCCCGCTGAGCAGATAGCCTGATGCAGGGCTCCATCCCAGGACCCTGAGACCATGACCTGAGCTGAAGACAGAGGCTTCAACCCTCTGAGCCACCCAGGTGCCCCTCAAATAAAAATTTCTTAAAAATAAATTAGCCTTAATGCTGTAATATTTAAGATACACAAAAGATATAAAGAATACTATATCTTGAATTATAACAACGTGATATATAATATAAAACATATATTTCTAACTGGATTATTACATATTACTTTATATGTAACAAAAAAATGCAAAATATATAATGTAATATGAATTCTCAAACCATCTAGTACAAGAATTCAGCTAAATCTCTCGTGAGTTCTTCCCTAGCTTCCGTCTGTTCTGAATTTGCTCAGAACTGACTGACCCAGGCTCCCCTGACAAACTGACAAAATCCAAGGTTTTGGAGGCAATTTAAGGCAATTAGATCCTAACTCAGGCCAGACAAGGATTTTTTTTTTTTTTTTTTGAGGCGCTACTAAGCTTGTTCCGCCATCTGGCGGCCGCACATGGAATTGCAGTCACTCATGTTTCCCGCCCCCATCCCCACCTTCTCAGAAGTTTTCTTAAAAAATTTTTTTCAGGGGTGCCTGGGTGACTCAGTGGGTTAAAGCCTCTGCCTTCAGCTCAGGTCATGATCCCAGGGTTCTGGGATCGAGCCCCGCATCGGGATCTCTGCTCAGCGGGGAGCCTGCTTCCCCCTCTCTCTGCCTGCCTCTCTGCCTACTTGTGATCTCTGTCAAATAAGTAAATAAAATCTTAAAAAAAAATTTTTTTTTCAAGGCACCTGAATGGATGCTCATGGGATAGAAGAAATTATCAATTTCAATAAATTCTTACGAACCATCAAAAAAATTTTTTCCCCCCTGCAGCACCTGGGTGGCTCAGTAGGTTGGGCGTGGGACTCCTGGTCTTGCCTCCACGGTGATCTCGGAGTTTTGGGGTCGAGCCCCGCATTGGACTCTGCGCTCAGTGGTGGAGTCCTCTTGGGGTCCTCCCCTCTTCCTCTGTCCTTCCTCTTGTTCACCGGTACACACCCTCTCTCTCTCTAAATTAAATCTTAAAAAATAATTTTTTTTCTTTTTTTCTTTTCTTTTTTTTTAAAGTTTTTTTTTTTTTTTTAAGATTTTATTTATTTACTTATTTGGGAGAGAGGCAGTGAGAGAGAGCATGAGTGAGGAGAAGGTCAGAGGGAGAAGCAGACTCCCCATGGAGCCGGGAGCCCGATGCGGGACTCGATCCCAGGACTCCGGAATCATGACCTGAGCCGAAAGCAGTCGTCCAACCATCTGAGCCACCCAGGCATCCCGAAATAATTTTTTTCCTTAAACTTGATTTTGAAATGTACAATCTGAGAGGGGGCAGGGAAGCCATTGAGCCATTGAGTCTTCAGTGGGGTCCTAGGGGCACAGTTTAAGATCTTTTTTAGGGGCGCCTGGGTGGCTCAGTGGGTTAGGCGTCTGCCTTCAGCTAAGGTCATGATCCCAGGGTCCTGGTCCATCCTGGCATCAGGCTCCTTGCTCAGCCGGGAGCCTGCTTCTCCCTCTGCCCCTTCCCCTGCTTGTGTTCCCTCTCTCGCTGTGTCTGTCAAATAAAATCTTTAAAAAAATAATTTTTCAAAAATGTAAAATCTGATTTTCTTAAGTTGGATATATTATAACTGATCCCTAAATCTCTGGTTTTACAAGTGACCACCATGCACTGGTGAAAACACTTAAGTATTAGTTGCTCACATTTATAACTTTTCAGTCTTCGATGTATGTAGTGTGTGTGTGTGTGTGTGTGTATGTATGACTCCAAAACTTACTGCTAATATATGAGAGCCGCTGATGTAGATGCTAGCACAAACAAGAATCATGTCAATGTCAAATTAACAGTGTTTCTAATTCTACTCTGTGAAGCAGGAAACCTCTTTATTAATCTGTAAAAGAAAGGAGCCTAACAGAGTAAATAATACTTCTGATCACCTATTAGCTGCTAGACTGATCACGTCATTTCTGAGAAAATGTCACAGTGCATTTGCATCGTTTGAAATACAGTAAGTTAGTCATTACCAAGTTGTGTGATAATCATTCTTGAGATTCCTGTGGATGTTAAATTCGAACCATCAAAAAAAATTTTTTTTTCCCCTGCAGCACCTGGGTGGCTCAGTAGGTTGGGCATGGGAAAGTCTGGTGGGAAAAGGCTCATTATGTAATTTCAAAGTATCTTTTCACCAATTAGTCATTAATCACAGCAGAAGTAGTCATGGCTTTGCAGCGGAGAGAGACAGCCGATTCCACCTTAGCCAAGTGGTCAAAGTTATCCCTTTGGGACAAGCCAACAGTATGTGCCCACTGACACAACACACGCACAGGGCTCAGCTTACATCGTTTCTATGGCATTCTGCAAAAAATACATAATTTGAATTTATTCATGAGAAAGGATTAGATGAGCTCAAATTGAGGAACATTCTAGAAGACAGCTGGCTTGTATTCTTCCAGCACATTACAAACATGAATGAGGCTGAGAAACCGTTCCAGATTAAAGAACACTGAAAAAATGCAGGACAACCGATGGCTCCGCGGGGTCCTGGATGGGGAAACGGCTCCCGAGCACACAGCTGGGGTCTACTTATACACCAGCACACGACTGGGGCATACTGATACACCAACATATGACTGCGGCATACTTGTGCACCAGCACACGACTGGGGTCTACTTAGGCACCAGCACACGATTGGGGTCTACTTATGCACCAGCACACGACTGGGGTATACTTATGCACCAGCACACGACTGGGGTCTACTTATGCACCAGCACACGATTGGGGTCTACTTAGGCACCAGCACACGACTGGGTCATAGTTATGCACCAGCACACGACTGGGATATACTTATGTGCCAGCACACGACCGGGGTATACCATGCACCTCTCCGTCCCTCCGGAGAAGACAGCACAGATCTGGGAAAAATGGAGGTCGCTGGCGAGGACGACGGGAGTCCTTCCACCGCCCGTGCGGGTTCTCCGCGACGGCAGTGCCCCAGCAGGGGTTCCCGCGGACCGGCTCTCCGCGGACGAGGAGCCGGTGTTCCGACAGGAGAGCGCGGGGCCCTGAGCGGGGGTAGCGCACGGAGAGCTCAGGCCCTGGGGCAGAGCCGCGGCTCCCGGCGGGCGGGCTGTCCGAGGCTCCCCCCGGGCGCCGGGGCCCGCGTACTCCGGGCGGAATAACCGCGTGCCCCCACGGAAGGCCTCGGGTCCCCTTCCGCCCGCGGCGCGCCGACCCGCGCCAGGACCCGGCAGCGGCCGACGCGCTAGCGACAGTAGGCGGGGCTCGGTTTCCAGGGCGACGGGAGCGGAACCGCGGGGCTCGCGCGTACGTCACTTCCGGCCGCTTGTCACGGGCCCTCCCGCTCGCGGGGGCTTCCGAGCGGGAGCCGCTCTCCTCGGGGAGCGGGGCTGTCGCAGGGGGCCGGGAGCAGCCGACCGGACTGTGGTCCTGCGGGAGGAGCTGTGGGGGCGCGGGCGGGCCTGGCTCCCGTCGCCCACCAGAGGCTGTCAAAGCCGTCCCCCCGGACCGCGGCTGTAGGACGCCCCGCCACGGCCGGATCCGGAGCATGCGCACTCCCGCCGGCGCGGGCTCGGGGAATCCACTGCTCCGGGATTTCCGCGCAGCCGGTGGGCGAGCGGAGGGGCGCGCTGGGGGCGTGGTGGGGGGGGCGCGGTGCGCAAACGGAGGCGTTGATTGGTCCGTTGGGAGCCCCGCGGGGAGCCGCTGTCCTCGGCGGCGGGCTCTGCGGCTCATTCACTCGTTCATTCACAGAACCGGTCGATCCGTTCGGCCTTCCCGGGGGCGCGCGAGTCCGCGCGGGGGCGGGGCGCGGGGGCCCAGGACCCGGCTGGGCCCCCGCGCTGTCTCCCGGCTTCCGGCGGCACCTCGCGCCTCTCCCCTGCACTCGTACACGGGGAGGCGACGGCCGCCGCGTCCCCCGCAGGGACCTCGCCTGAGAGCTCCTGCCCCGGGGGCCGCGGTTGCCCTCGGCAGGGCCCGCGCCGGGAGCCTCGTCGGTCGCGGACGCTCCCGGGTCCTCACGGGGGCTGTGAGGCCTGGAAGGAGCTTCGAGGCTTCCCCGGTGCGGGGCCCCGGCTTTGCCCCGCGTTGGCTCCCGCGACTTCGGCCTTCCGGGACGCCGCCGCTACCCTGCGCGGGCCAAGGCGGTTCTTCGCTGAGTCGAGGCTGAGTGACTCTAAGGGGAAGGAGTTCGTCGACCCAGACCAGAGTTTCGGCTCCCGCTGCGGACCCCGTGCAGCCGGCCCGCCGGGGAGGGACAGGCTGGTGCGCGCCCGTCGTTCCACACTCGGCAGGGGGGATGTCACCGCTCCGTCCCCTCGAATAGGACGACCGATGTGTTAAGGCCCTTACGAGATTAAATGAGACCTTTGTGACAAGAGCGGTGCACGTTACCTGCCAGGTGAGGGGACGCTACCGCGACTGTGTTGTTTGAGGGACTGGACGTGAGAGACCCGCTCAGGTGGTTGGTTTTTCGTGCCGCTAAACACACGCAGGTAAGTGAGTGAGTCCCTCTCTCTCGGCTTGGGCGCGCGAAAACCTGCGGACACAGGGCGCGAGTGTTGGAGCGGACTGCGGGGCAGGAGAGAGCCCCCCGCAGGGGAAGGAGTCAGAGACCCTCCGTAATACCGTTGGGGGCTCATGATGGGTTGCCCAAAGTGCCCCAAATGTCACCCAACCAGAACAATTTTAGTCAAGACAACAGGCATGATCTGGGACTGTTCCAGGCCAATCAAAAGCTAGGGTCACCCTATCCCAAAGCACGTGATGTCATTAAAGTGGAACTTCAGTCTGTCCCACTGTGTCTCAAAATGTTTTCTCCTGCCTGATTGTGTTGAGTCCTGGTGACAGCCTCATGAAGTGATGATCCCCATTCTACAGATGAAGACACTGAGGTTGTGTCGTTGGTGAGGGATGGGGTGGGTGCTTTGACTGCACTTTGTGACTCATGTTTCAGTGACAGATCTCAACTCCACAAAGTCTCCGGGGCATTGGTTCTCATCTTTGGGACTCCATGAGTTGATGATTCAGGGAAGCCTCAGATTCTGCCTTGTTTTACTGGCGAACTTTCTTTTTTTAAGGATTTATTTCTTTGCAATCTCTACACCCAATGTGGGGCCAGAACTCATGATGCCAAGATCAAGAGTCACATGCTCCACGGACTGGGCCTGCCAAGTGCCCCAACTGGAGAACTTTCTATTAGAGCTCTGTATCACCAAACTTTCCACCCCCTTTAGTACTCTTGTAGAGGATCTGGTGTGGGTGGGAGGTGGGACCTGATTATTTTAGAGGTTCCTTCCAATCTAACTTGAAGTGTCTACAAACTCCTTGAGAGCAGGTTTTGCTATATTCTTTGAATTCCGCACATTCGGGTGAGATGCGCAGGAAATGTTAAAGCTATGAAAGGTGTAACTCCAGGAGCCAGACAGCCCAGGGTGCCCCCTTGGGTCAGTTTAATGCGAGCCCCTACCTTCTCTGAGCCTCAGTCTTCAAACTGATAAAAATGCAGGATAGTCTCTCTCTCTCACACAGATTTGCTGGAACCATAAATTGCTGTCAGTGAGCACATTGTAAACAGAAACATTGTACTAAAATAGCAATGTTTCCTTTTGCCAGCTTTCAATATTGCTTTCTAAATTGCTTGCTTTATCCATTTACAAAGAGACTAGGGACAGAGAAGGACTATGGAAAGAGCACAGGCCATGGCATCAGACAACCCTGGATCTGAATCCCTAAATGACACAAGCCACTTGTGCAGCCCCAGCCAAGTGGTGTGTCCTTTCCGGACTGCAGCGCTAAGAATAGTACCTTGCATGGAACTTAGGAAGACAGAGGGAGCTACATAGTGGAGCTCTGTTCCCCGCACACAGACCTCCATCAAGGGTGGCTCTTGTAATGTCTGTTTTCTCTGTCAATCTGCATTCTTAATGCCACAGAGCAGCCCCCATGGGCATCCTTTTGTGGTGTGTTGGAGGCACTCTCTCTCAGCTCCTGGGAACCGCTGTTGAAGACACTTCCCGGCTCTCTGGCATGCTAGAAATCGGCTTCCACTGCTTTGCCCTGAAGATGTGTTCTGCTTGTAACTCATTCCTACTCTTTGGAAAACAGTTCAGTAAAAAATTGGTTTTCCACTGACTCTGGGCAGGGATGAGGGATAGCATATTATTTTGTTAAAAAATGTGAATGAATATTTTTGTTAAAAATATGAATGTTTTGCTAAAAAGTATGAATAATAAAGTAAGTCATAAAACAGCACTGGCCCATAGCAAAGAGTCAATAAATGCTTGCTGGCTGACAGCAAAGATGATGGCCCGTTTCTTTCGTGTCTGCTGTAATTGGTGAGGGGACGATTCTTGTCTTCCAGAACATTAAGTTTTTTTTTTTTTTTTAGAGTAGGTTCCATGATCAACGGTGTGCCTTGAACTCGGGACCCCCAATCAGGCGCCCCTGAAACCATTTTTTATTTGAAAAAACAACAGCAACAACAAAACACAAAGCTACACAAGGAGAGAGCGTCTTCCCCCGCCATCCCCTTCCCTCGGCCCTTTGTGGAGGTGACGCAGTTGACAATGTCCTTTCCAAATCTTCTCCAATGTGCTGTGACGCTCTGAGGTCCGCACGTGAATTCCGCTTTACGCACTCATTTTTAACACAGAAGTTGAAATCCCAAAGTGGCTTCTGGCCTCGGGGGAATAGCGGCTCCCACCCGCTCTGTGCTGAGCCGCTGCGCTCCGCGCCAGGAGCGGCTCCAGCCGGGAGACCTGGGGACCCGGCTCCGGCGCCCCCTCCCCGCCCCAGCGCCCAGGGCTGCGCGGAGAGCGCGCGCGGGAGGCTCGCCCGGTGTGCAGAAGGGGCCCTCGTCCAGCTACGGTAGTTCTCCACGCTAGTGCCCGCGGGGGCTTGGTCTCCCGGGCGCAGGGGCCCGCCGGGCGCGGGGTCCGCCGCTCCGCAGGGGTCTCGCCGGCCGCCCCCAGCGCCCCCGTCCGCAGAGTTGCTGAAATCCGAGCTGCGCGCCAGGAGGGTTAGAAAGCCGCGCGGCGACCGGGCCCCTCCCTCGGCGCGCGCCCCTCTCATTGCGCGCGGCTCCTTCCTCCCCTCCCAGCCCTCCTCTCCGCTCCCCCACCTTCGCGTCCCGCTCCCCGCGTCCCTCCCAAAACCCGGAGCGGATTGCCGGCCCGGACCGCCCCGAGCATGCGCAGGAGGGTGCCGGCGCGGCCGCGGGTCGGAAGCGCCCGCTCGGAGTAGGGGGAGCGGTCGCAGAAGCTGCTCCGCCCCGCCGCCCGCCAGGCGGTTGGCTCCCGCTCCGGGCCCGGGCCGCCGGCTGCGTAAGTGCGAGGTGGGGGGCTGCGGGCCGGGGGTCGCCGGCGGCGGGAGGGCTGTCTGTGTGTGGCGGCGAGCGAGGGCGCGAGTCAGCGCGCACCTGCCGGGCCGGGTCCCTTTCACCCCCACCCCGGCCCGGGAGCCTGCCCGGCGCCCGCTGCTCACCTGTGCGGGGCCGTGTCGGCACCTGCCGTCCTGGGGTCCCGGCCTTGCTCCCCGCGGCGCGCGGCGGCGGCCCCCTCCCCATTCCGCTGCCGCGTCCCGGACCCTGGGCCGCATGGGGTCGGGGGGGCCCCCGGCGCGCGCTGGTCTCCCCGCAGAGCGGCCCGGCCGGCCCGGGGCTACCATCCTGTCCCGGTCACCCTCGCTCTCCTCCGGGTCGAGAGTGCCTGAGATCCAGCTCGGCGGCCCCAGGCGCTGGGTGCGGGGATGGGAGCCTCCGTGGTCAGCCCCGTCCGAGCCGCGGGCGCCGGGGGGAACGGAGCGAGCCCGCGCTGCGCTTGTGGCCGCCTTCCCTCGCCGTCCGCGCGCGCTGCCCGGGCCGCTGCACATGCCTTCTGACCTACACCCTCTGGTGGTCGGAGGGGCTGCTCGTTGGATTCCGGGCTTTTACAGCGACAGGGACTAAAATGTGGACCGCAGAGCTGGCCTTCGTTCCCAGTGAGACCAGGGCGGGGCTGGGACAGGCTCCGTGCATCGGCGCCCCTCCCCCGACTTTAAACTAGTGACTGTCAGTGTTTGAGAAACAGTGACCACTACTTCCTCGTCCAGCCCAGCTAGTACTTGTTAAGGTGAAAGGATCGCACTCCGGCCCGAGGTGGGAGATCCAGGAGTCTCGCCATACTCGAGATCCGGCAAGCCTGTGTGCGTGTTTTTCTTAAACCGTGTGGCAGAATAGTAGTGGAGAGGGACCAACGGTTGTCAAGAAATGTTTTTTAAAAATAACTGCTTTATTGAGATGGCATTCACAACCACAGAAAACATCCATTTAGAATGTAGGGTGCCGTGGCTTCAGTACACCCACCGCCGGGGGCCATCCCCGTGCCAGCACGTTTTGCCACTCCAAAAAGAAACTCCACACTGGTTGGCGGTCCCTTCTTATTCTGTCCTGCAGCCCCCACAGCCACTCGTTTATTTCTGCCTCCAGGGGTGTACATGCTGTGGGCATTTCATCTAAACGGAACCTCACTCTGCGGCCTCTGGTGATTCCCTCCTTTCCCTGAGCATCG